TGCTGCACGCGGGTGATGAACGAATAGGCATGATAAACATTACAGGGGTAAACACACTTTAGACCACGGTGTAAGTGAAGAACAAAAGACTCGGACGTGGTGTAACTCGCATAACCGCACGTCTCGCATGAATGCGTTATAACCCGTTCATGGACCGTGGTCTAAATAAGATAGACCCCTCGTCAGCGGGGGTTATGTGACATCCACTCGTGACATGCACTCGTGTATGCCACATAACCCTCGCTGACTCGGGGTCTATCTATTACTAAAACTACACACACCTCAGCATGGACCTCCTGCAAACGGCAGTTCAAGGCGATGATGAGGAGTTGATATACGCTCTCCTTCGCGATAGACCTCAGAAAAGGCTGATAACCTATGACCCTGAATGGCCAAGTTTTAATTTGGGTACCCTTACTACTATCAGTGTTTGAACGACTTTCGCTTTGAAAAGGAAGATGTGTATCGCTTGGTAACGTTATTACGACTTCCTGACATGATAACTGTAAGTAACAGATGCAGGTGCAGCGGACTTGATGCCTTATGTATGGTTTTAAGGAGATTTTCATACCCAAATCGACTGAGTGATTTGGAAAGATTTTTNGTTATTAGGACTTCCTGACATGATAACTGTAAGTAACAGATGCAGGTGCAGCGGACTTGATGCCTTATGTATGGTTTTAAGGAGATTTTCATACCCAAATCGACTGAGTGATTTGGAAAGATTTTTTGGTCGACCTGCATCGACCTTATCCGTGATCATCAATCACACTGTTGGTCTACTCTATGACAGTCATCATCATCGTTTGGATACACTGGATAATCCGTGGTTGGGTCCTGCACAACTTCAAATTTATGCTGATAAAATACATGAGAAGGGTGCGCCGCTGCAGAACTGCATAGGTTTTGTGGATGGCACGGTTCGTCCTATAAGCAGGCCAACACGCCATCAACGTGTATGTTACAATGGACACAAGCGCATCCACGCATTGAAATTTCAATCAGTAGTGATACCTAGCGGGTTGATTACGCATCTTTATGGTCCTCTAGAAGGGCGAAGACATGACTGTGCACTGCTTCGTTCGAGTGGATTGATGGAACAGATGGAAGCTAGAGAGCTTACTGATAGGAATGGTCTTCCATACGCAATTTATGGAGATCCGGCTTACCCCATTAGAAGGTATCTGTTGAGTCCCTTCAGAGGAGCAAATTTGAGTGCCGAAGAAGAAGAATTCAATAGGAGAATGTCATCTGTCCGGGAATGCGTCGAGTGGGAGTTCGGAAACTTATTGCGAAACTTTGCCTTCCTGGACTTTCGAAAGAATTTAAAAGTTCTGTTGTCTCCTGTAGCTAAGTACTACTTGGTAGGTGGTCTTCTGGTCAACTGCCATACCTGTGTGTATGGCAATCAGACCAGTCGGTACTTTCAACTAGATCCTCCCACCTTGGAGAACTATTTAGCATGAACTGTACACGTGTAAATTGTGCGTATGAAAAATTAAAGAGTAAAATCTAAAATTCATACAGCAAGCAAACTTTATTTAAATGAAATCTTGAAGAAAAAACTACTGTTTTAACAAAGATTCATTCCATGTGTATGTTGTAGGCAGCAAGAGCCTAGTATGTCAATTCAGTTTTTCTTTTTAACCAAAAACATATATATAACCATCTCCATCATGTGTTTGTCTTTTTCAATTTTATTTTCTCGCTCTTTGTTTTCTAATTCAAAGCGTTCATTCTCGAAGGCCAACTTGTCTTTCAGGTAACTGACGTAATCTGCTGATGAATCAGTTCGGCGCTTCTTAGTTGGCGGCATGTTGTCGCAATTTTAAGCTAAAAAACAGTGTCACCAATTAATGTAGCGTCAGTTTTGTTACTAATATAATTAATATTAATCAATATTTCTCATCCCAAAATTTCAGAGTACAGATTCATTCAAATACACACACGCCGTGTGACTTTCGAAACAAGGCTTCATAAAATTTGCATTAAAAGTCTAGGAGATATGTCTCCTGTCATCTATGGAGAAAATCGAGCTACTAGTAGTGTCTTACTAAACGTCACTTACCTGACGGATAAAATTGCTTGTTACGCGTCAAGTGCAGACGGCTAGTCTATAGACCACTTATAATGGCATGTGTACTCGTAAAAACTGCTCACAAGATGATGACCTAACAGTCTTATAATACAATCCGTCACGCGTGCGGAAGGCCAGTTCTGACTACCTTGTGGTCAGTGGAAAATGCCTTTTTTACGGGTATAACCTATATTTCAATAGTAACAAAAACATAGAAACAAATAACAGAGACAAAATGTTTCACATATATTGCAAAAATAAAATGTCCAATACGATTTTAGTAGAGAAACGGTCAACTTTGAAAGGCTTGATTTCATGAAATTATGCTGATTTATCAAACCGTTTTTCATTGACGGGTAGCAATCTAGCTGCGGATAATGTTCTCTCAAACCGTATGTGTACACGTCACTAGACAGCAAATTATGATGACCTAAACGTAGTCGTTCGCCTAAACGTGCTGGTGCGAAAGCTCTCTATTGCCCTTTTTGTTACGTAGGCTAGTAAAAATATCCATAGCTAGAGACTCTCATAAGCCCTATCTCCATAGAAGGCAGTATGGGATAAATGACACACGTTGTTACACGCAGAATGGAATGTCATGACCAGTCACATGCAATGTTTCATGAAAAACTTAATATTTTTTGTTATGCAGTTATACACTTACTTGGGGAAACGTAATGGTACGATCCCCAAGATAGAATTCTCTCCTGGGATTTGGCTGTAATGACACATTTATCGCGTAATTTTAAGCTAAGGTATTAAATACGCCTTATAAACGCCCTGTGAGTTTTGTTTCAATAACACAGACAGTAAGGCATAACGTAACCATGCAAGGTGACGTAAGTACGTCACTATATAGGCGTAACAAAACTCACGATATTCACTCCTTCTCGACCAATCAACTCGGCGGAATTTTAAAGGAAACATATTATTGTGCAGGGAGGCACTATTTTATGCACAAATTGTACCAGAATGGCTATTATACACTTATTACATAAAATACAAACTAATACTCAGTGATACGATAAAACTGCATATTTGCCACACCGACGTCATCAAAAAGCATAAAACCTTTCTCTGACGCCCCTAACCCATTGTTACGTAATGATGTAACCAGCAATACATGAGGCTCTGCCTCGGTCATTATCACTTTTTGGAGGTCAAGAAAGCAACATATGGACTTCGGCCACAGTCAATAATAAGACATAATATGTGTTAACGTACCCCAGCAGGGCGGATCATGGTAGGATTTAATGAAACGTTCACACCATTGACGGAATGGAGGGTAGCCTTGAGAGCTGCTGTATTGCTGGACTTCCTGTAATGAAATACAGTATATGTTAAATGTGCCCCCCCCCCCCTCTCTCTCTCTCTCTCTCTCTCTCTCTCTCTCTCTCACACACACACACACACACACACACACACACACTTTCACTCTCTTATCTCCCAACTCTCTCTCTCTCTCTCTCTCTCTCTCTCTCTCTCTCAACCTGCAGTCGTACTTCCATACTGCTGAACACGGTTAGTTATTGGTACTGTAAGGCACTGGGAAGATTTAAGTGTTTGCAAATACTGATACTATTTACACAAAGTAACTGGATTGGAGAATGAGACAGAGAGGGAGAGAGAGAGCAACCTACCGTCATTATATTTTCGTCCAAGTAAACCTCCTCTCCATCTTTCAGTTTAAAAGTTCCAGACAGGATGGGAAACAAGGAGGGGTTGGGCAGGCCTCCAGCTAGCGATATCATATCAGGAATATCTTGAACTTTCTCTACAAGACCCCTCAAATAGGGTCCTTTCTGTCGGCGCACTCCAATGCCGTTAAGAAACCTTCTGTAGTCCATGTTTGTTCTTCTTCAAGTCAGCCGTTCTATAACTGTAGACTTATAGCAAGTCACGAGATACGGGTAATAATGTTATGTACGTCTGTGTTGAACATTTAAATATTCATTTGCACTAAAAACACAGCTTTCTAGACCTTTTAAGCAATAACAAAGACAATGTGCACATGTTTTAACTACAAATACAGCATACCTCATTCGCCAGCACGTTGCTGAATACAACTGCGTTCTACCACAGCGGGTTGCGCAATCAGGTGGCCTTTATATATAACTTGGGTGACCTTATAAGAAATTCACAATTATTTTATTCACATTGATAAATCTAAGCTTTAAGTCGCCCCTTTCATGATGTGGTCATGGCCCAGGAGCGATGTGCATTGCATTTCAGTCTGTTAGTGAAGCACTCTAACATAACGACATTCGCAGCAAGGACTGACCCACTAACTAACAAATGAATGGTGGTAGAAGTGTTTGTAGTTGTACCCGGTATAGTACTGTGCCAGTAAAATCGACGAAGAGTTCGGGTTTATTCCAGAAACATTAATAATTAATTTACGGCGTAAGTCAAATCGCTCCGTATATACCATCATAATGATTTGTTGCACGAGAAATTTACGTTTTAAACGTTCATTCTCCTTAACTTAACAGTGTGCACGAAATGTTTCTTTTTTTTTTTTTTACAACATTCGCGCAATGCCTGTCACGTTTACTTTGTCAATTTAATGTGATGGGTCACGCGTGGTGACTTAGACAAGCGTGATTCAAAATTTTGCAACAATGAAGAGTCATCATAGACCTGCGTATGGATCATGTATATTTGAATTAAATAAGTAAGATTTAAAGAATAACAACTTGTGCATATTCCCGAGAAGAGAAAGAGTTATGTCCTCTCAAAGGGAATACAAACCGAGGAAAAGTGCCAACATAGTTGTTGAGATGATGAAGACAAGGACCAGGAATATAGAACATGTAGCTACAGCGAGTACAAGTTCACTTAATGGCACACAGCATGGGTTTAAAAATCCCACAAAAACATAATTTTGCAATCCACATATAACCTTAAGTATTTTGGAGCGTAACTTATGTCGATATTTCATCGGAGTTAAGGAAGATGTCCGCTGGTTATAATGACCGACCAGTCCTAAATCAACCTTTATACGTTCAATTAAATGTCGAATCCAAGTGAAGACAGGTTTTTTTAAAATGCTAACCACATTCTGGGATCATTTTATTTACATGAATGCGGATTGATATGTTGAAGCGGAAGCTTAAGTCTTTCTTCATGTAGACAGACATCCCCTATACCCGGTTCCTCATGACATGCTAAAAGTCTACAGTCAGACTGTCTGACTTGTAAAACAAACATGGACTACAGAAGATTTCTGAACGACATTGGGATGCGGAGACAATCTGGATCTTATTTGACGGGTCTTCTGGAAAGCGTTCAAGATATCCCTGATATGATATCACTAGCTGGAGGCCTGCCCAACCCTTCCTTGTTTCCCATCCTGTCTGGAACTTTTAAACTGAAAGATGGCGAGGAGGTTTACTTGGACGAATCTACAATGGCGGTAGGTCTCTCTCTCTCTCTCTCTCAGTTACTATTTTTACATCTTTCTCATAGTGTCATTATCTGCAAACAGGTAAACTTAACAAACACGACCTTGGCATTTTTTCAATAACTTGCAATCCTACACCATACATGTACATCTGTATGCAAATAAGACTGAATGCTGAGAAAGAGACCGAGAGAGAGAGAGAGAGAGAGAGAGGGGAGGAGCCACATTTATCATATACTGTATTTCATTATAGGAGGTCCAGCAATACAGCAGCTCTCAAGGCTACCCTCCATTCCGTCAATGGTGTGAACGTTTTATCAAATCCTACCATGATCCACCCTGCTGGGGTATGTTAGTTTAACACACACTATGTTCTATTATTGACTGTGGTAAGATATGTTTTTCCAATTATTGAGTATATGGCTGACGTCAATATATATATATATATATATTTTTTTTTTTTTTTGCTGACCTCAATAATAACCTAGTGTGCAGCTGGTTGCGACATTACGCAACAATGCGTTAGAGGTTAATATTACGTAGCTTTATAACGCAAATTGTAGGAAATAAGATTGTATTTTATGGCGGTTATATAGCAGCTGCATAATATCATACTGGTACCACATGTGTATACAGCTGTGAAAAGTCTTCAGGTTTATGAAAAATAAATAAATAAATAAATAAATAAATAAATCCGCTCGGTTTCAACACAGTTAAACGTTTCCGAGAAAATTTCTTCCGATCTGACTGTACGAGAGGTGAAGTATACAGAACAACATCCTACCCTCGTGAGCGTTGTTTTTGCACTGCTTGAGAGACGTGCGGTAGAGAATTCGTTTATTGGCTTCATGCCATACTGTTCACCCAGTAGATATATAACTGCATGACGATAAATATAAAGTGATTCCTGTAATTATCAATAGGAAGAGTCGTGATATTTCACTCTGCTTGTAACAACGTGTGTCATATATGCCATGCTCTTATCTTAACCTATATCTCTCTGGACATACTATACTGCTCATGCCAGTCTTTAGCTATGGATGGTTTTATTAGCCTACGCAACCAAAAGGGCAACAATTCCAAATGCATAATACGCCATATATACTGGGTATATATAGACACAATGAAGTACATATTATATAAAAAAAGGATATGTGTGTAAGTACAAGTACTTTTCTCAGTGTTATCTTTAGAGAAAATGCAGATGAATCCAAAACTAAAATAATGGTGACAAGCGGTGCCGCACAGGCGTATACTAAAGTCCTTGAAATGTGCGTCAAAGAGGGCGACAAGGTCCTGGTAGAAATTCCGACGTTCTCCAGCGCCATAGATAATCTCCTCACGCTCGGTGCTGAACCGCTAGGGGTTCAAGGAGACGCCCAGGGCATGATTCCCGGCGAGCTGCGAAGTGTCATGTCAAAATGGAGACCCCAGGACGCAGACGATCCTCATTCTGACGTCCCTAAACTGATGTACGTCATTCCTTCCAGCAATACCCCTTCTGGCGCCACATTGCCCCTCGAGAGAAAACGAGAAATCTACGAGATTGCTCGAGAGTACAACCTTCTCATTATTGAAGATGATCCGTACTATTTTCTTCAGTTTGGAGGCCGTCTGGAGCCAAGTTTTCTTTCCATCGATACAGATGGTAGGGTGCTGAGGGCCGATTCCTTTTCAACATGTATGACGCCCGGATTACGTCTCGGCATCCTAAGCGGCCCCGCTCTACTGGTTTCAAAGGTTCAATCCCACGTGAGTTTCTCGCAGGAACACAGCAACAACCTCGCTCAGGCGGTGCTTCACAAAATCTTTGAGGCTTGGGGAGAGCAGGGGACGAAGAAGCGATGGCGGGAGATCTCCGCATTCTACGAACGCCAGAAAAACGCCATGATGTCGTCTGCAAAGAGGTGGTTGACTGGTTTGGCGGAGTTCGTGGAGCCTCAAGGAGGAATGTTCTTATGGATAAGGTGATACACGTGTATGGTTATAGATCTTACCCTGTACAATTAACTTCTATCAAATTAGCCTTTTTTTCAACATTTAAAATGAAAAGTATGCAGTCTTATCTATCTTTTCTTTAAGTGCAGTTTTTCCATGCACTATAGTTCACATCCCCTTTTACAATTAATTCATACGATGTGTTTCCAGCACGATTACTATAGGGAACATCTTATATGTCCAACAAAATCTAAAATAACGGCCTCTCGTAATCACTGCGCACCACTGATTTTATTTCTGAAACGTTTGTTTTCTTGCTTAAATGCATTTTATTTTTGCAAAAGGCTGACGACAATCCCTGACAGCAGAAAGCTGATAGAAGAGAAATCACTGTCTCACAAGATTGCTATGGCTCCTGGATGCATATTTACACCCAATCGTGACGATCCGAGTCCTTATCTGCGGGCTAACTATTCGACCATTCCTATTGGTCAGATTGATGTTGCCATGCAACGGTTGGCGGAAATGATCAAAGAAAAAATGGCTAGTAACCCTGAGGCCTTCAGAGTTTCTAAGTTTTAATTTTGTTCCTGGTATCAAAACCTTGTTTGGTGCTAAAGAAGCTGACTGTAACTGATAGACCCACAGCGTTGCATTTCATACTCAGCTAATGTGTGATTGACATATACATCATATACCCCCACCTTTAATAAATACATCTTTCTTTTCAGTTAATTTTCATTGTGTTATTATAATATATTAGCCTTATCCATGACAAATATCCCGGTGACTCTCTTTGCCACAAACAGTTTTCATGTAATTATTAAACAGAGCAAAAAATGTCTCTATTTCTGTAGAATTATAAATGTACAGGTTTGGTCGTTTCTCTCCAGTCTGTGGAGTTTTAGAGTCAGAAGATACATGTATAACACGGTTGACCCACGGTGACAGTTTGTCATTGTATTATAATGTTACAGCAGCCAGTCTTTAAATGCTATCTTTCCTATACGGCCGTTAAACTGTGCCCCTGCATGGCAAAGCAATATTCGTAATAAGTGAATAAAAAGCAAAAACGTGACACAAAAAAGAAGACACTTTTCGCTGAAACGATGCCAATTTTTATGTGAGTGACAATGCATTTCTTACACGAATCAATTGAGAAAAATACAAACGTCAATTTATTGTCTAGATCACTTTGTAAAAAAATATTACAAAATTAATAATTACACCCTTAATGGTTGCTAAATGTTGTTTATACATGTAATTAAAGTAAGTTCAAATGAGTAAAATTTTCATAATAGTCAAACGTTTTGAAAAATTGTTATCGCATTTGGCAAGTACAAGTATGCCAAATAAGTAACATTTGACAAGTGGAAAGCACGAATAGAATGTCCATTTTAATACAATTAAAAAATAACTTTTTTTATATTTATAACCAACAATACCATTGGTCAACAGAAACTAAGTCAATGTACTTTATTGTCAAACATAATAGTGATTAACAGTCCATTTTTATATCGCCTGCAGGTTTTCAATTCAGCACCGAAAACCGGCACGACTATAAATTTACCAAGCGTTCTTTTTGTACCACTTTGCGAGTTGCAGCAACTGATTGCCGACCATATAGCAACCAGAGATAGTGACAAGCTGCTTTTTTTTTCAGTGTGACCGACACCAGCACAGGCCTTGCGATTCCCAAAGAGATCAAGTGTTTATGCGAAATACCAATATGGGATGTATGAAGCTTCATTAACAAGAATTAAAATATATTTAAATTTATTATTATATTTTTTTTTACCATTATTACAATGCTTGTTACAAAAAGTTGTTATGTAGCTATATAGTAAGGGTTGTTTGCTTACAATTGTAAATTGATCAAAAGGTGTAATAACACTAACCCAAATCCCAGGTTTCACTGGAAATCGTGAAGGTGCCATTTATCTAGAACGATTTTCTCTTTGTCTTCTGAGAGGGGAATTGATGTAAAAGCTACCACCGTCAAAATTTGGAAACATACCAGTACATAGTATGTTGAGGTTACCAGTCTGCAATCAATGGCTTCAGTCCTGAAACCGGTCTTCAATCATCAACTGGCCGCTGAAAGGTTGTATATCGATCGACACACAGTGTGCGACTGGTAACCTATACGTTGAATGAGGTCTTGGATTCTCCAACATATTGCAACTAGTTTGCGACTATTTGCCGCTCAAAATATACCAACGCTTGTCATTTAGCTCACAAAACGATCGCAGGCAACCGCCAGATTTTTTGGTTGCTAAAAAGTTGTCAAAAGGTTGCCAGCGCAGTGTGACCCAAGCTTTATTTGTATTTATATTTTTGTCAATTTATAATTGGGAAAAACAAACAAGACGTTCATTCTTAATTGTCACTTTTTCTCTCTCATCTCCTGCTGCCATTTTCATCAACTCCACAGTCAGCTCAGCGTATTTGTGGGCGTTCGTATCACTCACCCTGTTGGTGCAGTAGTCGAGATTGTAGCAGAATCGACCTCGGAATTTGTGCAGAAAGTGCACAAAAGGTGCAGGATACCTACGTGTTGCCGAGGACGTGACAATTCTTGTAGCGTGGACCTCGTCGTCTTCTTCACCAGGAGGACATAACTTGTCACAATCACCGATATTGGACGTCATGAATTCCAATGAACAATCCGGATTGGCTAGCATGCGCCTCACGATGTCGTCACCCATGTATTTCGCTATTTTATAGGACTGTGTGACGTCACCATTTCTAAGTGCGGAGTGAACAACTTGGGTTGCATTCTTTACAAATTTCCAGAAGGCGGAATACGTGACAGCTGTTGGAGTTATTAATGTGAGAGCAGGTATCCACATCAAAACGCCAAAAGCAGCGTTTAATTCGGGTGGAAGAAAACGCCTCATATTAACGGAATGGACAGAACCTATATTTAAATAGCTGGGTGGTTTACCATCGTTAATAAGACTAGCAATAGCCATGGATGCAGCGGCAAAGAAGACGCCATGTACAGTTGTCCCATGATCTTTACATTTTGCTAGAATTCTCTCAGTTTCTGAAATTGAAAATTCAACTGCCACTGTTTTTGTGTACGTATGACCTATTACAGTCGGTGGCGGGAATCGCTTCATATAAAGACTCTTGCTTGGAAACCACTCCATAAACTTTAAAATTGCTACTCCGAGGTAATCTCGCCAATTAAATGCCATTTCATGTTGTGGCAAGAGATCTTCCAATGCTGGCTGAAGCATCACGCCTTCGCCATTCTCACAGGGAACACCCGACGTGGCGGCGTTTAGGATATTAATCAGCCTTCGTAACATAATCAGATTTGAGGTTCCATCCATGATAGAGTGATGGATCCCAAACACTACTACGCTTGTGAACAGGCCGTTTTCATTTACGACGCATCCCTCCATTGTTGCGTCAGTATTTTGTTTGGGCATGCGCACTACTCTCACCATCCAAAGCTGACCATTGGCTGTGTCAAACAACACGCGCATCATATCTTCGTGGACCCTTTCCCAGTCATCTTCTGTCGTCGCTTCAACAGCCTCAAAGTCTACACGAGGGATGTCCATATACTTGAAGTGTCTCTTCCCTTCTTGCCAAACTATGACCAGTTGAAGATGCGGAATGTCTCTTTGCAGTTGGCCGAGACATTGTTCCCAAACGTCATCTGTTATCACCCTTTTCGAGGTGATCCACGTGGTAAAAGCAACTGTATTGACGTTTGCTTCATGCAACAAAGCGCAGTTGGTTTCCACACGTCCTAATGGGCGGAAAATGTTATTTGCCATTGTCGACGTGGTTTCTAGAACTGTTATCTCAAAGCAACGAACCGGTGATTGAATACATATGTCGGCAGGCGTCGCTTTCTGTAGATTTAGAAGAAAATTTTGTCTAAATCGGTCAGTAGTACACAGAGAGGTACAGGTATCATGCAAAATGACTTGAAATAACCGTTCAATTCATTGAGGTACTGGGTAGATCGAGTGATTCAATGCTTTCCTGACTGACTAACCGACCTTTCAATTCTCACTCTGATGAATTTAAACAGTTAAATAACATTGTTAAAAAGGAAAAAAAATGTTGATCAGCACTCTCATGTGATGTACCAGTAAGTAATCTACTGAAATGAGGGGAAACCACTCCCATTAGGAACACCTACCTGTACAGCGCTTTGGAAGATTCCACGAAGTGCGACGTTTTCACTGTGACAATAAGTCAACTTGCGTCTCTGTCGTAAACGATCAACTCACCTAGATATTCACATGACGTGATATCATATAACGGCACATATAATATACCTGTATGATTTCCTGACTTAGGCTCAAAAACAGATAAAAGGACAACAAGGTGCACAGCACAGTCTCATTCAACAGTCAACGATGTAAAGTGTGGTATGCTCTATTTACTGTGACCCTATCATACGTTAACCTGTAGGTACCTGTATATCAGCGTTATAAAAATGTCCCAAAATCTGCACAACCTGCTATCTACTACTATTTCCCACTTCATACATAAAAAAGGCATTATATTCAAGTCCCTTGTGTCAAAAGACATGGTGGGTTAAATTATTTGGCGGTGAGAAAAAAAAATCAAAAATTGTATAAAACACATATTCCAATTGCAGGGATGGAACTAAGGCTATAGAACAATGATTGAGGAATGTGGTGATAATAGCTTGTCTCTGACGAAAATTGATCTTGTGGAAAAATGCCAGAAACGATACGTTAAATACTTGCCCTCTATCCCTATCAAGCAGTGAAACAAATACAACCATAGACAGAGCCCTTATGTACATCTGTTATCGTTATTTTGAAAAGATCAGTTCGTGTCACATTTAATTTTCTTTCTTCCAGTGCATTTGCCTCCATTTTTGTCACTTTATGTTTATCATTCCTATCGTCTCGTATAACCATGGCATGTTAATTTATGATGTAGACTGAATGCCACAATACCTGCCCTATTTTGTATGCTTTTCAGCAATATCGAATGTATTTCAAATCAGAAATGTTGTACATTTGTGCCAAGTTGAAAAAAAATAAAACCTGAAAGGACACGTGATAAGTATACACCAGCCAAGTGCTCAGTTTCATCTCCAGGCTGACAGTGGGTGTGGACCACTCTTATAACAATTTACTACCCGTTATACATGGTAGGATATAGCCATGTACTTCCAACCTGAAGGCCAGTTTGGTAATGCTTTTTCCACGAGTGGATGCATGTCATTAAAAAGAAAAAAAAAAAGTCCCTTTCGAAATATTTCAGCAAACAAATAAAGACTTCATGTACGTTTTAAAACGATTCTAAGTAAACTCATGATACGCAGATTTACAGCTTTGCAATCTATTTGATGATAAAATTAGTAAAGTGTTCGGAATATATGTTTATATTTTATAAATATTTCACAATTTTTGAAGTGTTTACTATGATGTCAATAATTTCATAAACTACTCGTCCTCCGTTTCGACTCCTGACTCTGTCTGAAATTGACTATTTTTCATAATTTTCATCTTAATTTGCAAAACAATGAATAGAGTCCAGTGTGCAAACAGATGATAATATAGTGTGCATCTTACCATGTGGCCATTAAACATATATTGAACAACGCATATTGCATGGATAATACATGGAATCATCATACCAAAATTCTAGATTACATGAGGTTAGTTATACAGATAAACTCATTTATGCATTACACACCTTCACCTCAATATATATAATGCGATGCAGAACGCAATTGGATATGCTTAATTAGTATAAAGTATCAATGACCAATGTTCCATGACTATTGGGCAATATTGGTAGGCCTACTAGTCATATATCAAAAGAGGTTTTCTTATTCAAAATATTCATCTTCCCGGCAATAACATTACCATAACGTTTATAATTATGTAAGCGTCATGGTACTCCTACATAAGTAATCTATATTTTCTAACCCCACATTAAATAAAAAAGTGTAACATATCATGGATGCTCATAGTTGGTTATAGATTATCTTACATGACATAATATTTGCACGTTCTTAAATGTCCTCTCTCTAATCAGCCTCTTGACATGGCCGTCTGAAAAACATGCCCCATCTGTCCAAAGAGATGAGCGTGTGAAAACACCATGATGATTTGGGAATTGTTTATTATTATTACTATTATTGTCTTCTTTGATTTGCACTCCACTTTGATATTTTGTGCCAGAAGCCCAACTTATA